TCAACTTTTTTCAAGGAAGGGGGGGGGGGGGCATGTTCAATGTTTACACGTAGTTTCGAGGTAAATTATGTCTGTTTTGGACCTACGCATGCCACAGTTAATGGCACATTTCGCTACATGTCGTTGAAAACTTTGCTGGTGGCAGAGTTGGGGAACATAAGCGAACCAAGAAGATGACTTGGCCTCGTGAAACAAAAAAGATACCGTCCAAAAGTCTCAAATAAGCTTCCTCGTTCCAAGCGAAACGGCAAAACTCGGCGGAATAAGCCGCTGAAAACGTCGCGAATATGGTCCTGTTTTTGCACTTCACCTCAAGTCTTTTAGCACAAATCGAGAAGGCTTACATCTGGTCGAGAGAACTGTGGTTCACAATTGAGCTCCGGCTTATTCGCTCCGGACAGGAGTTGGAAATGGCTTCACGAAATACCCACCAGCTTGCGCACGCGTTGCGCGCTTCTGTCGTCGCAGCTATAACGTGTCGGTAAAGGAAGAAAGCCACCGCTGTACCACGGCAGTTCTTATGGTAGCGGACCTTCTGACACATCCTGACTGATAAACAAAAGTATGGCACAGGAGAAGGCAAGAAATCACCAAGCACTGATGAGCGTTTCTCTATCGGGAAATACAGTCAATATTGCCTCAGGGTGGAGAGAGGGGCTCATAAAAGGCTTGGAATGAGCCCACATGCGGCTGTTTCACTACGAAGTGCTTTCTATCCGAATCAGTCACTAACCGATTACTGCTGGAAGGAGAAATAGCTGTAGTTAGGCTCAATCCACTCCTCCCGAAACCGTTCCGAATGAGTGCAACCATCAAGTTCAGGTGGCAAGAACAAAGGTAAGGGCGGAATAGGGAAAATGAATGTAAAACACCAGCTTTGAAGCAGCTCCATATTGTAGAATCATACACTCCATCTAATCGAAAACGCTTGATGAACAAGTTCCTGCTGAAAGGGAGAAGGGAAGCGCTCGCTTAGTGAGCAAATAGACAGAGTGGGAAGAGGGTGCTTTTTACAGTTCAACTCTGAGATGGAGTGAGACCTATTCTTCATACTACGTCATGACAGAGAAGAGGGGGCAGCAGATGAATTACACAGGTGGACTCGTTTCTCTTTCGGCACCAATTAAGGCTCTCTCGTTGCCCAGAGACCTATTCGCGTGCTTGGAAACCCTCAAAAGAGGAACATATGGGAGTGGGGGACGGCGTTGGGGTTGTCGGCCTCTGTGCCCGAATCTAAATAGTAGCTGAAGAACTCAGGCATGGCATCCTCTGATCGTGCAGTCTTTGCCCATCCCCATCATTGAACGCATTCTATGAAAGAGACTGAGGATCTCCTGCCCACCAACTGGAGCTGGTAGAGATTAGAAAGGCGCCCAAAAGTTTGTTACTAAACTTACTAGGCATTGATCTCGAAACTACGTTGATAATAACGAGTTATATAGAGCAGACGGATCGGCGAACTGAACCAACACGGCAACGCCTTTGTTTGCCTTGCACGACATGGGGACAACGACGATCGATCCCTCATATTGTGTAGGACCATTTGCAATGGTACCGATCAAGAGGACACACTGTTAATGAGTCCGCGACAAAATTCCCAGTCTCGCCCGCGGCCTGGTAATCAACGGGTCTTGGCAATTATAGTTCATGAACGATTGTAAAATGCCTCATTGGAGGAACACTTCTGGGCTATTTCGTTAGCAGCATTTATGGTCACTGTGAAGAGTTGTTCAGGAAGCATCGTTTAAAATCTGGTTCAGAGCCTGAATACCGCTGCGACGCCCATGGAGGCAGTCGACAATGGTGGGGGGAGGGCGCGTTGCC